CTGTCTGTCTGTCTGTCTGTCTGTCTGTCTGTCTGTCTGTCTGTCTGTCTGTCTGCCTGTCTGTCTGTCTGTCTGTCTGTCCACTCAGTTCCACCCCCATCTGTTTTTCTCTCTCTCTTTCTTTGTTTGGTAGGGCGGGAAGCTTGGTAAAAACACTCAAGAATACTGAGAGTTTTTGTATGTAGAAGTAGAATATTGCTGATGTTCCCCCCACCTCCCTCTTTCAGGGCATCAAGCCCTCGAATTTCTATAGTATGCTGGGATGTCAGCCTTACAGCTTTCATTTTGATTGTTCTGTTCATTTGATTGTTTAAAACCTTTTGATCTGTTTGTTGTTAAATGGTATTTATGTTAAAGTCTCTCTGCATGATTCTCTTCAGCTGCTCTCCTTCACTCCCCCCCCCCACCTTCTCTTTTTGAGTTTAAAGATTTTGTTCTTGAATCATTTGGAATCTCCCTAGTGTTTTGCCATCTTATTTTATTTATTGATCAACAGTGATAGATCTTTGAGTTCAATGAGACTGATTGTTGTGTCTCTGTCATTTCTGCTTTTACATATAAGAGAGAAAAAAATGCTCTCTAAAACTGCTTCAGCCTACGAATTAGTAGACACATTCTCACATACCATATTTATTTTGAATGTTCTGAGCAATATTTTTTTTTCAGTCAAATATATCAGGGTTGTGCGTTTGCCGCTGATGGTTTATGTGTGCATGGTTAAACTTATGCACTTAGCAGTTGCGAGCGCCGTAAAACCTTATACTATACATACATATTATACAAACTTATGCTAGATTTTACAATCATTTTGTTTGAAAAGAGAAGTACAGTTTGGCTCATGTTTATTTCTGCTATGCTGTTAAATGATTTGAGGTGAGGGGCAAAAACCTTTAAAACTTTAAAACTGTCTTAAAGGAAGGGGAGAATATTGAAACAAGTACTCAGCATTAAAAACTGATGGAGTGACTTCATGTTTGTATTCCATAATGCGATTTGATGGTTTACTTGCACTGAGTGAAATGTATGCTTTCAAAGAAGTTGAAATATTTTTGAGTGTACAAGGGTCTTCTTGTGTAATAACATTGTATGAAGCACATAGAGTTTGCTGTCAAACGGGGATATAATAGTGTTGTACAAATTCTATTTATTATTTTGTCATTAGGCCTATTTTATTGTTTTAATCATTCTCTGTTGTTGATTAAAACTGCCATGTCCTTCCTCTGTCTCTGACAGCCAACACAAGCCAACATGACAAGCTCGTGGGAGGCTTCAAAAGCTCTCGCTGGAATTCTCTGTAAGTCGTAGGCTACTCTAAGCATCATTACGTACATGTACTAATGTACTATTGATGTCAACTCCTCATCCCCCCCAACCCCCGGTTAAGTGGGCGGTTGGTAGGTGCTCTGATGTGGTTTGCTCATTCTTTCCTGTCAAACATAATCTATCATCCTTATCCACTCTCCTTTTTTGTGTTTGTTACTCTCTTGTAACACCTCTAATCTTTGGCACTTATATGGCCTTACTGTGCAGCAAGTGCTGTAAAACTCTTACTAAAACTAAACAACTCCTTAAAGGTGACGGTGACACTTTAAGATCATTTTGCCGTCCTATAAGTCTCTCTGTACTTCAACATAATGTCCACAGTACCTTAGAAGTATGCACTGATGTCTCTACAATACTTTTTCATTACCCCAATACGCTTTCTTCCACACTATCTCAATAATAGCTTCGCAGTAAAGTAGGTTAGTATTAAACATTTTATTGCAGAATGGTCTGACTACTGGAAAAGCTAAGAAGAAGAAGGAGATGTGTTATAATGTACATATTTGTGAGTGTGACAACAAAATGTTCGCCTTTGTGCACACACAGGCACTACTGTGGCACTAATCTTTTAAAACTGTGATATGTGGGTGGTTGGCGGGTGCTCTGGTGTGGTTTGCTCCTTCTTTCCTATCAAACATCTATCGTCCTGATCTCTCCTCCTTCTTTTATGTGTTTGTTACTCGCTTGTAACACCTCTAATCTTCGGGGCTTATATGACCTTATTGTGTTGCAAGGGCCGTAAAACTCTTGCAAAAACTTTAAAAAAAACCTGTGATATGAGTTTATGCTTTTATCTCCCCTTCTCCACCATCTGACCAGACTAGAGTCAGAGGCTGAGGAGATTGTGACCCAATTTCAGGCCCACGGAGGTCGGAAGGGTGAGAGACATGAGGAAGTGGAGTATGCCACGTCGTTTGGACACCAGGTCAGTCTGTCTTACCTCTCCTTGCCTCATATCTTTGTGTCTTAATTGGGAAAACTTCAGTCGGAAAAAATTTGATCTGATTACTCATCCTTCTGAAATTTTCTTCGTTTTTGTTTGTCTAGGAAATTTTTATTTTCTGAAACATTTTTTTGTTTTGTTGAGGAGAATCTGAATCTTTTGTACTTGTTTGTTTAGTTGGGGG